AGTGGTGGAGAGAATAGGAGAGGTTGGGAGGGGTTATGGGGACTGGACAGGAGCAGAATTCCCATCGGAGTGCTGGTGCCATCATAGCATTCCTGTCTCTCTCCCTCCCTTTCGCCCATTTCCCACCCACTACCTCCTTCACACCCCTGGATGAAACTCCCCCAGATTAGTACTACTCATATTATCCAGCAATCTAGTAATGTTTAACTAGTTGTCACTGGCGTGTAGTTTGTGTAATTAGGTGGGGGTTTTATGTCTAGATAAAAGTCTGTTTGAAGGTTTTTTTTTTTCCAAAATGCATTATAGGCCACTTTCAATTTTTTTTCTTTTTTTCACGATATACATTCTTGGGAGTGGGCTCTACACATACAAGAAATATCAATGCTATATGATTAATACTGCCTTTATTAGAAGAATCTTCCTACTAGACGCATTGCTGTTTATTAATATCACAGGACACAAGGTGAACAAGTATGTTGAATGAAATGAAAATGAAAGTAGTCTTTTGCTTATATTAATTTTGCCAAAGGTTTAACATTCATCATTCATCTGGTGTTATGAACAGATAACCTGCAGATAATTATTATTATTATCATTACTAATTTATTACCAAACAAACACATGCAGTGTAAAATGGGAGTATCATTTCACACTCTTGTATTTCAACATCTCATTTTAACATTTTAATCATCTTACATTTTAACAAATATCTTTACTAATATCTTGATATCTTATATGGTATACTGCCAGATCATGCTCTGGGTTTTAAGTCCATAACCATTGCAAAATCCAGTATATCTCTAAAATATTGTGTATCATATTGTCACTGTCATATCAAAATAATCAAACTATTTTAATTTTCTATATTTGAGTGCAGTAGCTGTTCAGTGTGAACATTTCATTATGAATGATGCTCTAAAATTACTTGGAATAAAATCTGATTTGAATAACATACATTAAAGTTAAGAACGTTTTTTTCTTCTGTAGAGTTTTTGAAGGTAGAACCCAAAAAGTGTTCAGACATTTGTGCCATACTTTAAAAATGCATTTTGTTCATTGTGTTATAAAACAAATTGTCACACCAAGTAGCATTTATTTTACGCAGACCATTTCACAACAGTTCATTTTTTTTTTGGCAAAGTGTTCTTTTGAAAAGAGGCCAGTGTGTTTCACATTGTGATTGTTTGAGCAGATTGCAGATTTTTGCAGCTTTACATCCAAAAACTTTGTATACTTCTGAGTTCCTGAACCCATCAGTGAACACAAGCTCACCAGCACCACTGTAGGAAAACACGGCCCCAAACTGTGGTTTACAGCACCCTTACTGCAGTCTGCCTGGAAGTGTTCTCCAAGCTTTCTAAACAAAAAGTCAACCATTAGTGTGATGTTGTGCTGAAACTGTTTTTCTCTGAAACAGATATTTGGTTAAATATTATGAAGTAACCTAAAGAATCTCTTTTAACTTTAGTAATGGCTAAAAGATTAAATTTGGGGGGCACTGTTTATGGTTTTGTTAGTACAGAGAAGACATATAGCATATGTTGTATCTTCTGGAAAGATCTAAAAATGTTTAATGTAGGGTCAGTGTATATGTGTGTGTGTGTCAGATTTTTCCACTTATTATTTACTCTTCCTTACACCTCTCTCATGCTGGGGAGTGTGTCTCCAACCTGACAAAAAAACAGCACACACACTCTCCTGTGTGCAGCTGTACATGGGCTGTATGTGTCACACACTCCTTCAACGGCACACTCAATTAAGACTGCATGAAGACTAACCCCACTTGACCCACCCTGACCCTTAACCTCAGGGTTGTGCTCCCCACAATGCCAGGCGTGCGTATGGATGTGACTGGGTCAAGGGGGTCAGTCAATGCCTTTGTCCTCCTCATGTCCAGCTTGTCTATGCTATAATGCTTTTGGTTGTTTTTCCCGTTTAATAATAGCTCCAGTGAGACGTCCTATTAGAGGTTGGTTTATTCAGAGGGACAGAATAAACTGCCCAATATCATAGGCATGGAATCCGAGGCCGGGACTGTGAGAAATAATATTTAGTTAACCTTTGACAATTACATGAATTCATGAATGAGTGCTTCCTTTAGACTTTAGAATGAGCCATATGTCATTTAGTGGTTACAAATGCTTATAAAAGGCCAACACTGTATTATCTGTGACTTTACTTTCATCTCCATCCTGCTATTTTCTGAATGAAGCACTTGAAATTCATTCCTCTTAGTGGAAGCAGGTGTCAACTGGACCACCATCTTGCACAAAAGCATTCTATGCATTATGACAGATTGCATTCAAGGCCATAGAACAGCACGGAAAATGCCAAGTACATGCTCTCCTCTGCTCTTCTTTTACAAGACTTGCACGTCTGGTGACAAAAGTGCTGTGTTCATTGCCACAAAGCCATTCACCCTCCAGTATTTCCTGAATGGCTAGAATATTTCCTGCATGTACGTGTCCGTATTTACCACAGCCACATGCACTCGGCCCTCCCAGTTGCTGTGTCTCTCAGCAGGCTGGTATGGAGCATGTGAACATTGCCTGGAGGAAAAAGAGGAACTGAAAGGGCTGGCGGCCCCTGAGCACAGCCTGCCTGTAATCCTGTTAAAATGAGCTAAAGTGAGGCACTCTCCTCACGCAGAGAGGCTTTCAGAGGCCACAGAGGGCAGCAGCAGACGCCTTTACCCACTCTATACACTCCTACTGACCCATTCACATGGCGCTTTACACCCTGCAGCAGGCCGGCCTGCCTACCTGGGCTTGACTTTTTACAAAACACACACACACACACACACACACACACACACACACACACATTCCTATTTTGCCCATTTCCAGCTGACAGGATTTGTTTGAAGCAAAACAGGTGTAAGATTTGGTTAAAATAAACTAGATGCATGGAAAACATCCAAGGCATATATATTATTACATCATCAATATATATTCATGTTTAATTCTAAAAACTGGACAAGTTTCAAACTACATGCAAACCGACCAAGCAACCAATTATGTAAAATCGTTTCCATTCAGTGTTCTTTCTAATCATTGTAATTGTGATGAGATGATTAAGCACTTCAGCCTTCACCCATTCTTCAGCGCCCAGCTGCTCACCTGGGTAAAGCCTGGGAAAAAATCAGGCGCCATCTCAGCCCCAGACGGAAGTGAAGGAGGGGTGGAGCTTTTCCAACATGGCCCCCACTGAGCTCCAGGCGCTGCTAACAACGCGCTAGCAAAAACAAGGCCGGGCCTTTCTCTCCGCCGTTTGATCCCAGAAAGTGAAACTGTGCTAATTACTGCGACGGAGACCATCTGGACTCAGCCTTAACCCTTTCCACAGCCATTGTAGGCGCCATTAAGTATTCAGACGGATTAAAAAACCCTCACTTTCAACCGGAACTCTCTGCGGCTTAAGATCACAGTTCAACCTGGCACCTATAGTGACGTTACACGAAAATATGATTTCTAGAAAATGTGATTTTTATGCTGTTTAATACTTCTAAATTTACATCCTTAAAAAGGTGTGTGTGTGTGTTGGGGGAGTGGGGTTCTTTAGTAAATGCAATGTACAGATATGGAACCGTGACAACTCAAAGAACCCTCTGAAGTTGTTCTTTGCAAGGTTAGTTGTTCTCTATGATGAAAAATCTGTTGTATATGGTTCCTGGAATAACATTTTAAAATTATGTAAAATAGCTATTGTCACAAACCATTTAAGTATTTTTGCAAAGAGGGTACTTTAGTATCATCAGAGTACATTGTATTAATTCTTGTAATATTACTTTAGATATTTTTCATATGCTACCATAGAGGGGGAGCAGAATGAATGAGGTTTTAAAAAAGCTGCCAATAGTGCAACTACATCATAATATTTTGCAAAACACAGTGACATAGCACACAATTCTCTCTCTCTCTCTCTCTCTCTCTCTCTCTCTCTCTCTCTCTCTCTCTCTCTCATAAACACATTTCAATATTTAAAGAAATGTTTTGACAAATATAAATGCCAGTAGACTTTATTGGACTCAAAGAACTATATAAAGATTCACTTGCGTGTCGCTGCTAATAATGCTTTAGAAAAAGAACTGGCTCCTGGAGGAAATATTATATCAAGGCTACAGAGCAATTTTAACGGTATGGGAACATGATCGAAAACAAACTTTACAAAATGTAATGATATAAGGTGAAAAAGTGAAAGCATTTAACTATCAGCCTATTTTGTTTAAGCCATGAACATGTATATATTTTATATTTATATGCAATTGGTGCGTTGGATTTTCTTAAGGAAATTAATAGGCTGTTTCTTGTATAGGCGTACATCCTGCAGAGTAGGAGAAAAAACAACACGAATTTGTCTTATAGCTCTTAAAATATTCTCAGTGCCCTTAAAAATGCAACGACGAGAAGGCAGTGTGAGATGAGCACGAAACTCCCAAACTCCTTTTAGAACTGCCTGCCAAACCAGTGATCTGGTCCAATATCATTCACCGCGTATTGCAGTAGAATTCAGCAGTACTGTAGCACCATCTGGTGGTTGGAGAGAGGATGCACTCATTTCATTAAGGCATTATGTTAACCCATTTCTGTCAAGCAGCTAAATGTTTATGATAAAGAATATGATAAAGAAAAATACCACATAACTCGCACTGATTGGCCCAAAGTAAAATTGTCCTATATTAATACCTTGAATAAACATCTAACAGGATCCATCAGACTTTTTTCATTGCACGTACCTTCCCTGTGAGTTTGGGTTTTCTATAGTGTTGTTACAAATTTGTAGTCAAAAATGTATAATCTTCTTCAGATTTTTTGTGCTCAGGTAAGTCTAGAGCACATATCGGTATACGTTCACATATGGACTTTAATGGGTTGATCACAGTGACAGTATTTCTTTGAAGAAATCAGCACTAGATCATTACTGCTATGTACTGATGAGCACAGTGTTTTAGTGTTTTGTCAAAGGTATGTTGTTACAGTGGAAGTGCATGGAACACTGTATTGGGATCACTTTTTTTTTTATACATTTTTATGTGTAAAACACTCCAATAAGCATAAACAAATTTATACAAACTTCCAAATCAGAGGAGTTACTCAAGATAACCAAACAAATGAAACCACATACATTTACACATCACTCTGCATATTAAAGTCTGTGTAAAAGTCACACCTCTGCAGTAGCCACAGTTGATGCGGCACTCATACTCAGTTTTGAGCATATATCCTGTGTGGTGAGGCAGGTAAATCAGTACACACGTACACACATGCACTCTTTTTCTCACACACATAAAAACACACAAAATGCACACAAAAGGTAGACATGTAATTTAACCGTTGAGTTTCTCCGACTCGTCTGGTGTTTTCACTGAAGCCAGCTCTTCACTGCCTGACTCTTCTCCTGGCAGCTGAAATGACAATAACCATATTATGGAACAATACATGAGTGGACTATTCCTTTGTCTTCCATGCCATGTCTATGTATAATCTATGTGCCTTGCTCAAAGATCTGCATAGATTTAAGTTTTCTTACAGTGCATCCTGCAATCACATTATGTCTGCCTTGTAACTGACGTGTAACTTTGCATGTAGTAGTTGTTCCAAATTAAGCACGCTTACCTCCCAGTAGATTGCATCCTCATAGCACAGGGTGTCTGGTGGGGCTCCATAAATAGGCAGCTTCAGAATGAAGCCTGAGAATGTACACAGTCTACTATGAGCCCAACACATACTTTACAGTAAAGCTTCAGTATACCGTTTAACAACAACGGCTACAACCATGTTATCACATCACACCTGGAAAGACTGAAACTTTACGCAAATTTTACATCTCTTTTGTGTACATACCAACGAGGAGTCCACCTAACAGGGCTATGCCCAGCGTCACACCCAGAGAGGCGGCTTGCATTCCAGCCTGAGCGGAGAAATCTCTTTCTGGTGAGACTTTATCAAACACATCTCCCAACCTTCAGAATAAACCAGAGAAAGAGTGAAGGAAAACCATATACATATTCCCAACTTCTGTGCCTAATTCTAAAGGCATTAGGAGATGCACATCAAGCCCTTAAGGATCTGATGGCTAATTTTACTCAACAGTTAATTAGGCACAAAAGTTGTGAATGATTATCGGTTAACCAGTTAACTACTGTGCAGTGTAGCAATATTAAAATGCTCTGTCAGTAAATAAAGTGCTACCTCACTCATGCTATTGCCCACTGTAAATACTGAACACTGTCAGTGTTCACTGTTAGTGAGAAAATTCTCTATTACGTGGCACTATATGAATACATCAAAAATCAAAAAATTAAATATTTTCATACTCTTTGTGATCAAATATGACTGATAAAAAACACAATGAGGCCTATTCTCTCTAGCTCCAATCGGATGGAAGAAAAGAGGAGCGACACTGACTTTTCCGAAGATAAGTTGTCATGGTAAGTTACAATTGAAAGTAAAGGATACAGTTCAGTACTTTGGAACTTCAGAATATTTAAATTCTAGTTCAGCAGAGGTCATTGTAACAAGCTTAAAGAGTTCTCACCCTTTGCCATAAACCTCATGGCTTGCTGCCACAGATGTGATGATCCCAACAATAGCACCCAGTACCCCAGGCATCCCATGCAGGTTATGGACACCACATGTGTCTTGGATCTTCAGCTTTGACTCTAAAACAGGCTGTCAAATACAGAGATATGGAGAGCTGCAGCAACAGAAAGTCTTAAAAATGAAGGTGCCAAAACGTTTTTTTGGAGCAATGCCTAGAAAACCACTTTTGGTTCTCAAAGAACATTTCCATGGATGGTTCTTTTCAAGAACTATTTTGGTAAATGCGATATGCAAGTGTCAAGATTTCTTTTTCAATTAAAGATTATTGTTAACAATTATGGCTTTTTCCTATAACCATACTTCCAAACCAAGAGTCATTTAGAAAGCTTCATTTCAAGAGTCAAAAGTGTGTAAAAGGTGCACGAGTGTGTAAGTGAGCAATATATATTACTCGCACTAACAACTATTCAAAAGCAGAGTTATAATACAGTTTGCGAGTGCACTACTCACTGAGAGGTACTTATAGCCCAGCACCGAGATTGTTCCAGCCAAGAATCCAACAATCATGGAGCCAAATGGAGTCAGCATCATCTCACCAGCAGTTCCCACAGCAACACCACCGGCCAACGCCGCGTTCTGAATGTGCACCTAAAAGATCCAAAAGATAAGACAAGAAAATTATATATTCAAGAGCAATCCCCCACCTAAACAGATCATCTGCCGGAATGCTGGTATATGGTTTGACATCAGTCATCCTTTTGCTGCATTTTACAATCATGCTATATAAAAAAAAAATTCTCCAGATATCAATCAAGGAATTTGGTACTCAGGCTGGCAATGCATTCTGTAGATGGTACCTGCCAATCATTTAAGTGACCAGAAGTGCATCAAGTGAAGAGTGATTTCATGTTGTAGTAATATATCTTGTAAATATCAGTCAAAAGTAACAGCAGTGGAAACCTTCAGGGCTTTCTTGGCCTTGAGAGAAGACCTAATAATATCTGGAAACATCAATAAATAATGCATCACATATAAAAATAAACTGTAATACAGTACCCCACTACTGGGGGAGATCAATGATTAAAGTGTTCTTAGTGGACAATGAGACAGCATGTGTGTGATCTTGCTTCTGTCTCAATGTAGTGCTCCTGCAGTTGTGCCTGCTTCTTATTTCACTCCTGTGATTAATGAGTATTCATTCTGTGACTCTGGGTTTAAAGTTATGCATTCCACCAACATAACATTTCTTGGGGAAATTAAGCATGGCAAAAGAAAATATTTGGTTGGAATATTTTAATATTTTTATTCTTTAACCTTTGCCTCATCTGTCTATACAGTACTAAAGAAAAAGAAAATTAGTTGCTGAACCAAGACCAAAACTTGAAGAATGCTGAAGTATTTGAAAGCAGTATAGGAGAAACAGTACAGCTGCAGTAACAACACACAATTTCACTTTGAAATATGCATGTGAAGATCCAGCCAATACAAGGCAAAAAGCCTATGAAGTGCTGTGACTCATGTTGCCCACACAGGGGCACTCACCATGTCCAGTTTTCCCTCGTGGTTGACTAGAGCAGAGAAGGCATATGTGGCAAGAGTGCAGGCAGCCAGAGAGTAGTATGTGTTGAGGGCAGTGCGGTGCTGATCATCTCCATGAGCAGTGATGGCCGAGTTGAAGCTGGGCCAGAACATCCACAGGTAGATGGTACCTGAATAGAATCCATCAAAAAATTATAGCAATCAGAACTTTTTAAGTGTGACAGTTATTCTTGCACATGAAGGAGAGACAGGTCCCAGCATGTAAAGATGTTCTCTTGCTTCTGTGCAGATCATTTGACTAACCAATCATAGCAAAGAGGTCAGAGTGGTAGACAGAGGTGCTCCGGCTCTTGCTCTTGTCCAGGTTTTCCCTGTATAGCACTCGTGTCACCATCAGACCAAAGTAGGCTCCGAATGTATGGATGGTCATGGAACCTCCAGCATCTTTTGCCTGTTGATATCATCACATTTATAGATATTAAAACTGTGTCATAGTTTACCTCTTTTTTCTGATCACCAACCAGGTTTCCATTAACAACAAGTGTCTGTGTGATCTATTTTTGTGCTTTGATCAAAGCTTATACAACAGAAAGCTGTCTAACATGATTTATATGCCAACTTGAACAGCTCATAAATGTCTTTTTATACAAACATGCTGGACATCTCAAATCTAACCTGACAAAGATGTAATAGAAAATAAACTTTCAATTGTTTATTCCTTACTTGGCATAAACTCATCTATCAAACTGAAAATGTAACTGCACTTTTCTGATGACACTTCTGAGCTGGTGGTATATATTGGCACTGTCAGAAACAAAACCTTCTATCTCCAAAATGATACCTTAACAGGAGAAGGAAAGAACATTTTGAACTTGTAATAGAAGTTAATGTAACATTTTTTTTTTCCAAATTTGATTCAATGGAAAGGGTAAGTGGAGATTTCAATCTATGCAAAAAAGTTAAAAATGTAAAATATTGAGATAACAGCATCGCTATGTTCCAATAACTAATAAATCAAATTGGAAATTAATAACACAAATGTGAAAATGACCCATATTCATGACTTTTGGCTCTTTTTAACCTCTTAAACCATAAAGCTCTGTCTATGGACTCACACTTAAGCTCCTTAGTAGCTCAGTAATTAGAATTCATTGTTTTTACTGAATAATACATCTTAAGATGAGTAACTGAGTAATAAAGTTAGGGTTCAAGGGGTTAAATCATTAATTGCTTGTCATATTGCAGAGCCAAGAAATGATCTCCCCAGGTGAAGTGAAGCTGCGTTGAGGTTACATGCACCAGGCCTCAGTTTGCTTTGGACAAAGATTATTTCAGAGTCATCAGCAATTACGACTGTTAAACGCAATATTGACCCCAGAAGATCGGTCTCAGACACTTCACATGAGTTTCTGTGGACGTTAAGACGAACCAAGGCATTGATCCAACAAATGCATGTAATGTTGGTCAAAATTATGTAGATCATGTAACCATGTAACATCAAGCACTCACTCATCATTGTGTTTTGATATATTCCAAGGCATATTGCCAATGTAGTATGTAGCAATATAATCACAGTATGGTATTTTATCTATACTGTGCATCATTATTGTGTATACTATATGGTTAAGAGAATTAAGATTGACTCACATAAAAAACAGAGAGGAGGATGAATTCATTGATTGCAAACAGTGCAACTTCAAATATTGCCATTACAAGCAGCTGGACTGGGCTAGTTTTCCCTAGTACCGCCCCGAATGAGATCAGCACCGAGCCAGTGCAGAAATCTGCATTTATCATGCTGTAGAGAAAGCAAAAAATTAGTTATATACATGTATATTTACAAATGTTTTAGGCATCAATATTCATTATTTAGTTAATACAAACAACATTAAACTAATAAGTAGTGGTTTTACATATGGGAATATGTTTGCTTGACCATTTTCACTGGCTATTTAATTCTACTTCATTATGTTAAATCAAGTGTCCTGGTGACAGAATTTAAAAAATACATGTTATGACTTGGGCACGCTGGAGAAATATAGAACCAAATTCATTCTTCCAAGCTCACAAAGTATGAACGACTATTTAAAAAAACAAAATTCCTGTTACTTTTTACTGTACCTAAATTATTTGCATTTTTCAGTGATATTTGATGTTAACACTTATTCCTCAGGTAAATATGCTGTATACTATACTGTATACTCCACTTACATTTCTACATTTCTAAATTTAAATTTAATACTTTGTATATTTTTCTTGTAATCTTTGTACATATACATATATATCTTTATACTTTTATTGTTTATTCTATTTTATATATTGTTTGTATATTTCCTGCTGCTCTGTCTTCTGTGCTGCTGTAACACCGCAAATTTCCCCGTTGTGGGATTAATAAAGGATTATCTTATCTTATCTTATCTTATCTTACCATGTAGGTGAACTTTATAGTTCTACCAATAACAGAATGTAGTCCATCTATTTCTCTGCCCACTTAGTTAGCATCCTCTTACTCTGTTCTTCAATGGTCAGGACCCACAAAGGACCACCACTGAGGAGATATTATTTGGGTGGTGGATCATTCTCAGCACTGCAGTGACGCTGATGGGGTGGTGGCATTTCAGTGTCTGTTGCGCTGGTACAAGTGGATCAGACACAGCAGTACTGCTGGAGTTTTTAAACACCACTTACTGTCCAGTCTATTAGACACACCTGCCTTGTTGGTCCACCTTGTTGATGTAAAGTCAGAGACAGTAGCTCATCTGTTGCTGCACTGTTTGTGTTAATCATCTTCTGGTCCTTTATCAGTGGTCACAGGATGCTGCCCACAGGACAGTGTTGGATGGACATTTTTGGTTGGTGGACTATTCTCAGTCCAGCAGTGACACTTAGGTGTTTGAAAACTGCTGTGCCTGTACTACAAAGAATTACAAAGTGCACCTATATGGTAAGTTTATCTGATGAAGTGGACAATGATTGTGGAAACTACAAACTACAAACACACACACACACACACATATATATATATATATATATATATATATATATACATATATGTGTGTATTTCCAACAGAGAGATAAACAGAGACCAATCTTAGCCTCTCACCTCTCCACTCCGACCTCGATCTTATTGCCATGCATGCCATGAAGAAAACCCTGCATGAGTGTTGCCCATTGCAGTGAGAATGCAGCGACGAGGAAGTTAAATCCAACACTGCTAAAGCCATAACGCTGCAGAAATGTCATAAGAAATCCAAAACCAATGAAGATCATCACATGTACATCCTGGAAGCCTAAAACACACAAATAAAACACACAAAAATGTAAGAAAAAAAATAAAAAAACTAAAAAAATAAATAAAAATGATATTCTTTATCATGCTTTCTTCAAACTTCTTATCACTTAAGTGCCATTTGATGATGTCCACACTGTTGGGGCTCTTGACAACTTTTAAAAAACAACTTTTCTCTGACCCATTCTTTGTATGGGTCAGTCAGTAACCATCGGTCTGCACACTACAGTACCCTTATACACACAGCTGCCAGCTTTTCATGATTGGATGATTTGACCTGAGCATGTAAGGGCATCCAGAGTGGACTGAACTTGGCATTTACTTCATGTGGGTGTTCACGCTGGTGCCCCTCATTAGAGTCATTCTCTGTGCCCATCTGCCCCACACTACCAACACAATCACGCTCTGTGCTGTTGCTAGGCAACCAACTGCTGACACTGGCATCAATGAAGATGGCAGAGTCCCTGAGGGCAAACTGTCCCACATACCTCAAGCCTTCACTCAATCCTCCTCTGCCACCAAATTACTGTATTCAAATTCACACAAATCAGTAATGGCTTGATAAAGGACTGACAAAAATAAATGTTTCTGAACGGTTCTAGGAAAAACTACAACTTGAATTATGCTCTTATAAAAGGAAACTCTCTTCAACCTTAAAAAAGCACATTTACACTTCACACACATTCATTTAATGGTCCTTCAGCAAATCCAAAGTGGTTCTACTATGGCATTTCTCCAAAAAAAGCCTTTTTGACACCTTTATTTTTTAAGAATGATGTCTTTTTTCATTTATTCATAAAGACAATAATGTCTTCATAAAGGTTTTATGCTGAGCGTACACTACCATCAGCTCCGTAACAGCCCATTCCTTTCATCTTTTTCGACCGAACACTTTGCCTGCATCTACGATATGGCATCTCTATATGTTTATCCGTGGGAATGTTTTTCTTTCTGGTTTGAAGGGTGAACATTATAGAGGATGATTAATGATGGGATAGATCACAGATTACCACAAAAAAAACAACAATATGTGAGATGAAAACTGCACCATCTCAGTGAGCCATCTCAGAGGTTTCGTCTTTCAGCTTTCAACCTCCCTCTTTCCCTCAGCTGTGGTGTTATGCAGGTGTACGTGTGTGCATAAACAGGGACCTGCGTCCTTCAAGTGTGAAGTGACAGGTGAAGACCAGCACAGGTGAACTTTCTAACACCTATAGCAGCATCCGCCCACAGTCCTCAACCCCGTTCTGTTCCAGAGAGGGCTTTAATTAAGGCCAAGAACGGCTAGAACAGGACAGGAAAGCTGGTAAAACAACAGTGAAACAGAGCTCAAGGGCAACACAACATTCAAATCAGATCTGAATAGGTTTGTAGTTTTAGAGAACTGTAACCATAATTTATGGCCAGTATATGAATGAGGCCCAGAGAACTATGAAGCTCTGTATTTCCATAATTTCTCAGACAACTAGCTTTGATTTGCCTCAGTGGATTATAACTCATTTTTGATCTTCTAGTTAAAGGTTAAACTTAATTGAGAATTCCCTAAAACCACTTAAGCATGTTTGAGTTAACTCACTTTTCACAGTGGACAAAAATCCAACACAGAAAAAAATTCAGAAAGTATAATTTTTCTATTACTATTTCTATTACTGTAGAGTATATGTGTGCTGGGTTTGTTACAGTTTGTGCTTGACCGTTTTCCTCAGGAGGATTCACCATGGGATGTCTAACAGCTGTGAGAGAACTAGTTGCACAAGAACTTCACTGAAAAGAGCAAATAACGGCACAGACAGAATGACAACTGAGTTTCTATTTACTTAAAGGTTTAAGTAAATAGAAACTCAGTTGTCATTCTGTCTGACCCCTTAAAAGGCCAGGGCCCACTAGCAGGCCCAAAATTAAAAATTATTATACACTTCTATAACATAAGAATAGCTCAGACAGTTTGGTCTGAAGTCCCTGTAGTTACTGAATAAGATTTAATAAAATTTATAAAATTTGAGATTTTAAGGGGTTAAACAATAATACCAGCCAAGGTTTAAGTACACGATTGATGAAAAGGAAGTGGAATGAAGAATGTTCTGCACGAAAGGTAGCCTCACCAACAAATAACTGTCTATGGTGTAACTCACATCAATTCAGCAGTGTAGCAGTTACATACAAAAGTGCAGCCATGTTGCTTCACTGCAACAACAGAAACCATGGCTTATTATTTTAAATTGTGTTCAACCACTTTAATTTCAATCCAAAAATAAATAACAATCATGAGCAACCAGAGTGCTTGAAACATCCTTTGGAGATCCTTGAACATTCAAATTTAGAACAAACATTCAGCGAGAATTAGAAAAGAGACAACTGATATGGAACAACCCAGCATTACTCATCATTTCCCACCACCAGTCTAGAACACATTTCAGTGTTTTGCCTGCCTTAACTCACACTGGACTCAGTTCATTAAGGTCTTGCATGAGGTGAGCAGCAGCAGGGACAATATAAAACTGTGCAGTGTCAGGGGTCCACAAGACAGAGATTACTACTTGACTCAACTCGACAGCTAATTAAGAAGTTCTTCGTTAGTCAACAAGTCTGTTAAAGAAGGAAAAGCACTGACATATGAAGTGCAGGCATGCTCTAGGATATGAATAATAGTACTCTAGGATATGAATAATAGTACTCTAGGACTATGAATATTAGTACACTAGGACTATGAATATTAGTACCCTAGGACTAATATGGATATTACTCTAGGATATGAATATAAGTACTCTAGGATATGAACATTAGTACTCTAGGACTATAAATAAAAGTACTTCAGGATATACACCGTTTTGGCCAGCTGGTACCATATGATACACATGTGTGCTAGTGCAGTGAAACCACAACATAAAAAAATGTGTATAACTTTGAGCACCACTGGTCTAGGTACTTGCATAGACTATTAACCAAATTGTCAGCACATCCATTCCACACATTGTTATACAGTGCCTGGACCATATATTTAAATAATTGCTTTACTTAACCTTGTTAACTGAGGAGACAAAATGCTTCTAACTACAAACATCTAACTTCAGCAGTCTGTTTGTAAAAGTAAAGCTTCTCTCTCTCTCTCTCTCTCTCTCTCTCTCTCTCTCTCTCTCTCTCTATCTGTCTGTCTCTCTCTCGCACTTACTGGGATAACGGTAGTAGAATTCGTTCTCGTAGTCGGGTTTTTTTGTCTTGTTCAAGTCGGAGCGATGCCAGTCGCGGGCATGAGCATCGGACTGGTACTCCACAAGTGTTCCAAAGAGGATGATGAGAATGACCTCCAACACGATGCACACGATTGGCAGTTTCAGCCGCATGTTGGTGGCATGTTCAGCCATGGTGTTGCTGAGTTATCTCTCTCTGGAGAGCAGTTTTTTGGCTCAGAGTGACGCTGAAGTCTGCATAACGCATCTCTTTTGATTGTTGGGTGAACCCTCTTGGTGCACTTGTTAACGCCCACATGTCACCTAGACTCTGCTGATTGGTGGAGCCCCGCGCTTTGAGCCCCACCCACTCTCACCTTTGCTGGTTTGCGGGAAGGTTCGGAATGAGACAGAACTGAGCGGCCTCCACCAATTTCTTGGTTCGGAAAGGTTTTGAAAATCCTTTACTGCACCTAATGCATCAATAATATTTCAAAACACCAAATAGTGGCTTATTGTTAGCGCAGTAAAACCTGACAAGTTCAGTGCAGTTCATAGTATATTTACATAAAACTTCAAAGAAACAGCAGGTGTTTAACGTGACATTTAAGGGTCTTATAACGTAGTTATAAGACCCTTAAATGTGTTGCCTGGCTGCAGCCAAGCATATGAGTTATTTTTTAGTCTATTTATAATTCATAGACAATGCATAGAATTTGTTTTTGTTATGCATTGAGAGCGCTCTAAAGTGAACCAAGGGGATTGTTTGACTTACAATCTGAAAATATGTTAACCTTAATTGCAAGTCAGCTTATGCTGACTCTGCTGTATTTGACTGAATGGAAATGTGTGGCATAATTCATTTCTTCCATTTGTGTATTTATTTACATATTTATTTATTTTCATATTCTTCTAACCAAGTTTTCCACACATTTTACTTTTCAGATGCATTAAGTTGGATAAAAAGTCATTGGCCTCTGTTTGGCTACTGCAGAACGCTTTCTACACTGAAAGCTCACTTTGGCACAGTGAACATGAAGCACATGAAGGATCTGTACTGGTTAGACGACATTGTTTTCAACATTGTCACGTCTCATCATTGTACCCCGGTGGTGCTAACTTATTAATTCATCCCTATTGTCCAAAATGCTCTCTGCAATGGACTGGTGACCTGTCCAGGGTGTATCCTGTCTTCCACCCAATGACGGCTGGGATAGGCTCCAGCAACGCCCGTGACCAAGAAGGATAAGCGGTTTAGAAGATGTGTGCGCGTGTGTGTGTGTGTGTGTGTCCGTGTCCAAAATGCAATACACTGTTTTGATGATATGATTCACCTCATGTAAGTATGCAAATATAAATCAGTCAATGATTAATATTTGTGAATTTGTGAACTTGTGTTTGCTCAAGTTTGGAACAAAGAAAATTCTCCAACCAAAGGGTCATGAGTCTTAGGGTCTTCATGCTAAGCTGGACTTTTTGGGTTACTTCACGATGGCTTTGTTTTCGTGAGTGCTTTTCAGTCCTGGTATGCAAAGCTAATATAAAGTTGACACACTTTACCATGTATGCAATGTTTTCCAAACATGTTGGATGAATGTATCACTTGTAAAACGGCTTGACGTGCCTCTGTTAAGAGTTTTGTTGACTGTACACAGAACTTACACTGCAAAACACAATTTTAACTCTACTTTTATCTTGAACTGTTAGTAGGCCTTGATCCACTGCATATGCAGAAAACAATCTGCAAGACAAACATGTTACTTGACACTAGCATGACCTGTTGCATTGCTGTAGTTTCTACATTTTAATAGTTTAATGAACATGCTCTTTTAATGACAACTGGCTTTCTGTTTACACTGTCTAAATTTAGAATTAGTGAATGGGGGAAACTCTTTGCTCATGCAAAACTGTATTTACAAAGTCTGCATTCATGAACCTCTTTAGAATACAGGGGACATATCCTGGTAATATTAATGTGCCTTCTAGTGTTTTCAAGTGACACTGCAGGAAAATTGCAGTACACCCAAATAACTGCACGCAATGTGCTGACAAAAAGAGCATCATTACTATCTACTCACAGTTGTTTGCTAAACAATGAGCAATTTAAAAGTGTACAGGTCTGTATTTATCAGGAAAGTTTCAAATTTTGCTACTATTATGAAAAAAGGAGATTTACAGATGTGCAAACAACATTTTTGAGGAATTTGAAAGGGGTATTTATGAATTATGAAAGTTACTACAAGAAATATATTTTAAGACAAATTACATTACATGTCCAAAGGTTTGTAAACACCTGCTCATTTAACATTTCTTCTGAAATCAGTATTAATCAGGGATTTGTTCTCCTTTTACTCTTCTGGGAGTGCTTTACACTAAACATTGGAACACTGCTGTGAGGATTAGATTGCATTCAGTCACAAGAGCATTAGTGAGGACAGGTACTGATATTGAACTCCACTGCAAATCATCCCAAAGCTATTGGATGGAGCTTCATCACACCAGAGAATGTTATTCCACTGCTCAACTGCCCAATGTTTGCGCTAACATGAAATTGCTGCAGTATTTAAATGGAAATTCCACTTACATCAAGGGGTGAAAAAGCTAGTTAAGCAGGATGAGGATATATTTGAGCAGGTTGGAAGTGAAAAACAATGACAGGACTTTAATTGAAGTTACTTAGCTAACGTTAGCATCATCTGTAGCATATTGACTGTCATGGTTATGTAAGACAAAAAACTTTTGTCGGTTCTCATTTTATCACTATCTAGCCTACTTGTTTATCTCAGTATAGCATATAAATAATAAATAAGAGATGAGGAAAAAAATACAAAAATTATGTTGCATTAAGGAAGTGCTGTGTGTTTTGTATAGAAGTAGAAATACAATTAGAGTTTAAGAAGGGTTGGTCTGCTTCATATAACTCCTGAAACCAAGTTCCACTTTAGCCCTGCTCCAGAGCATCCCTTTCTATTGCCAATGGCTTTCTATTGAGATTACACAAGGTAATACAAGGTGTAAGTATGTATATATAAGTGTATATAAATATATATGTGGGACAAGTTTACAGGTTTCAACATGTTAAGTCCTATCAATCAGAACCTTCTCTCTCACTTTCTATCTCTGTCTCCATCTCTCCTGGCCCCCCTGCACCTTTAGAACTGGCTTTGCTTAAATGCTGTTATGGTTTTGAGGAATTTCAAGATTTGTTACCTGTCTGGTTTTTCTGAGGGTGAAAACTGAAGATAGTCAAAAGTGCTGAGAGACAGTGGATTGTCTATATGAAGGAGACATCCTTGTATGGACCACAAACACAACATTTAGGTTTGACCGGTCTATTCCTGTACTAACCAAGACACTCCAAATGCAGGTTTTCTCACTGCCCTGTTCACTGTGTCATATATGTCCACATAGTGAGTCAGCTTTCTAAGAATGGACTCTCCAATGACAAGCCTTTAACCCTTAGAAGTCACCAGAATTGCTGGCCATAACAAAAAAAGTATGGCATGATTTGATAATTATATCTCACTCATATAGTTCCTTAAAACAAGCAGAGAAATTCTGTCTAATATGAAGATTCTAAATTATTTAATTTATTCTTTGAGCAGGAGAGGCTATATGTAATTATGATTGAATGTTATGAAAAAGTATTGTTGAACATGCAGTCTTGTTTGTGGAAAGAAAAAAAAAACATCTTTACTTTTAACTGTGCTACATTTTGTTATTTGTATCAAATCAAAGAAAAGTTTAAATGCAGACTCAAACCTGCCAAAATAATATGTACATTTAATGTTAATGTAAAAGTAGTTCTTTATATTAATATGTAATTAAATTATGTAATTACATTTAAATATCATAACACAGCAACAGTAATTATTCTTAACATATAAGGGTTAAATTTAGCTAATTGATGGCAATGCTTTGGACATAATGAGACATGACAAGCATAGGGCTTGAGAAAAACAAGAAAGCCCAGAAAAAGTCTGACACAAGGAAGCATTCTCTTGTGAAAAATGAACACATTTTTTTAAAGCGAAACAGAGCCTGATGAAAGATCAGCAACCCCTAAATGGCTGTGCAACAAGTGCTGTCCCATCCATTCATTCATCAATCTTTACAGAAGTACAGTAGTTAAAAAAACCCTAAAGATCCATTAAAACAGATCACATTACTTACTACATGAGTCCTCTCACAGGGCTGGATAGTGCTCATGTCTCTCACACTCAAACATACCTCATTCAGTTCATCAGTGGGTTGATCATTCATAGATAAGTAGTAAACTATGGAATGTTGAAAACCTCCACACTGCCAGAAAAAAGGTATGTGCAAGTACATTTAGTATAAACAATGTAAATCTGCCCTTAAAGGTACAACAATGGCCTTAAGACCCAACTGTTTCCAAGAAGAACCAGGGAAAGGTACATACTTGTACCCTTTCATAACCTAAAGTTTTAAAATAGAACATTAAATAAAAAGCCTGGATTCCAGCCAAGGCATATGGAGTCAATGCAATTTAAAAAAAATAATTGCAATGGCGTAGGGTAGAAATATGTTCCCTAACTAAAGATAATGAAAATTACCACCTCAGTGACAAGACAGCAACACTTTAGTCCTTTCTTTTCTGATAGTGCACAACTAGAATTCCTCATTCCTCAATTGCTACATACCATTTAATACAAATATTAATATTATGGTCTCAGCAAAGAAGAAGACACATTAAATGTGATGTTTTAAAGGCAAAAGCTCTTTTACCGAATATTGACAACAGCCACTCAGCTCTGCTGAAACGGCAGAGACAGCAGGCAGGTCACTGTTTTCCATACATTTTCATCTGAGGGTAGACAGTAAACCCACACCAACTTCCCCACAGCCCATCACAAAATAGAACATGCAACGCATATACACATCCTAGAATGAGGAACATCTTATTTACACTTTAAAGTCTCTCCTACAGTGAGAGTGATACTCACGAGAGCCTCCACGTGTTGCCACTCTGCATATCCACGCCTCTCAGGTTCCTATGGCCGCAAGAGTCAGTAGTGCTAGAGGGATACTATAACATGATATGATGGTAAATCCTTTATGTCTACATATAAGTAACTTTGGCAGCTTCACAATATCCAAACCTAATTTGTTGTCCTTTGCTGCTGCAAAAAAGGTCAATTGATTTAACATAGATGGTCATACACCTGCACACTTTTCACTGATATTTAATTCTCTCAAACAAAATATATTAAATTGTAAAGTTGGCCATCCTTCTTTCAACAGCCCATTT